TGAGGATCCTTTTAGGCCCCTTCCTGTGCAGACTCTCAACCAGTGAGTCAATGCAAAGGCCTGTCTGTAGCTGCAGGAATGGCGGCAGGAATTACTCCAGTGGGGTCAGGCCTGGGGCCACTAGGGACAGCTTTAGGAGCACCAAGTCTCAGTCTCCACTACCCTTCTGAGAAGAGGGCAGGGTCTGAATCTCTGGCTCTCTAATTCACAGAAATCTAAACATTCCTGGAAAGGGTGGACAGGTGGGGGGAGGAGGAAAGAAGTGAAGCCTTAGGCCCAGACCCCACCTTGAACCCCGAAGTGTGGCTCCAACTTCTCCCAGGCAGCCAGATAAGCAGACAAAAGGGCAGAGTAGAAAGGCCCCAGCCCTGGCAGACTAAACTTAAAGGACCCAAGCTGCTTAGTAGTTAATTTTGATGACCAACCCAGTTTCAAAAAAGGAGGCTCCCCCTCAGCTCCCAAGTGTGAAAAAATAGGGGTGGGGGTGGGGGGAGGCGGGGTGCAGATACATAAAATTAACAGATCCTTCTAACAGAAATTTTATGATTCCAGACCCACAACACTTCTGGCCTGAGTGCCTACAAGTGAGGTGCAGGATGCCTGAAGCATCCAAATTATTTGGGTCAAACTAACGTAGACTGTATGAGCAAAAAGGGTTAATTTAGTTCTAGATCTCCTGGATTAGCCCTGGTATTAATTTCACAGGGGGTAATTAAGCAGATTTTTCTAAACTATAAAATAAAGCCTATTTCTGTGGCCATCGCCTCCCAGATCCAGTGACAGGTCTCTGAAGGTGGTGGACACATCCCAACGCTCAGTCCTAAAGAGGCTGGGAGGGGAAAGGCAAAATGGAGGGAGAGCCCTGGGCAAAGAACCAAGTTCACAAGTATCAAGTCCTAGGGAGCTCCCGCACCAGAGGGGCAGAAATGGGGCCAAAGACAGGGATGGAATATTTACTTAAGAGGAAAAAAAAAAACTGGCAGCAACAGCCAGGCAGGACACTCGGGTGAGCCCACAGCAGCAATGGGGCTGGTGCGTGCACCTGAGGGTGAGTTTCTGTATGGCAAAGGTCAGGGCTTTGAAGAAGAAAATCAGCAGGGGCAGCCTGGCAGTGGTGAAAAAGGGAACGCTGGGGAGAATAAGGGAGCCTGTTGGGGTTCAGATGTAGAGGCAAGAGGGGATGGTGGGCTCTTGCTCTGGGAAGGAAGACATCGAGGAAAAAGATGGTTCTACGGGGTGCGGGGCTGGCACAGGTCTAAGGGACAAGAGCCTTGGACTGTCACTCAATTGGGAGGGGGGAATGGGAGATTTGTCACAGTCCAAGGAAGCGGCACAAGGGGGTGTCACTGTCCTAGGAGATGGGAAATTGTCCTTGCACTGAGGGGAGGCGCCGAGGGGTAAGGGTGCTGTCACCATCTGAGGGAGGGGGCCGCGCGGCGCCCCGGTTCTGGGAGTATTCTAGTAGATCTCCCTCTCAAGGGAGGCGCCGGGCGGGTCAGGTAGAGGGCGCCGCTCCCCGCCCGTCCTGCAACCGCGCCCCAGGCGTCCCCACCCGCCGTCAGCTCCCTCTGGGATCAGAAGGCTGAGGCCACTCCCGGGTGTGGGCAGCTTTCCGCGAATGCAGTGCAGGAAAGGGCAAAGCTGCAGTGGGGCAGGCGTCCTCCCTCACCCCGTAAGGCCAGATCCCGAGCTCACCTGGTGTCCACGGCCCCGTGCTCCGCCGGCCCGGCCACTCTCGGGATCCCAAGATGTCCGCCCGCCCCCTGCTCGCCAGCTCGCTGCCTCGGCTTTCACCGCAGTGCCGCGGCCCCGCCCCGGCCTCAGCTGCGCGTGCGCGTGCGTCTCCCGCACAGACTACAAATCCCGTCAGGCCCCCGGCCTTCTCACTTACAATTAAACCTCCAGTTTTAGCAAAACTACAACTACCGACTGCCTTCGAGAACCTTCGAAGGGGAGAGTAGGCGTTCCTTGGGGGAGGGATAGGAGTGGCCTTATCCAGCCCCACCCGAAATGCACATCGCGGATCACCTGATTCTGCTTACGTCATTTCCCCCACTGAGCATTCTGGGGATTGTAGTCTTCAGTCCCTCTCGTTCGTATTTTAGTGTTTTGGAGAGCCTCAGAGGATTACTACGATTTGAAATCCATCTGGTAAGTCTTGCATTGCTGTAGCCTTTTAGTGTCTCCAGAGTCCGAGGAGTGGCTGTCCTCACTTTCCACACAACACACGACTTGGCCGTAGAAGTGTTTGTGCTTAATTTACTATTTTCTAACACCACCTATGATTCTCCCAAATTTTATTTTTTCATCATATATTTGTGCCAGGCATGAACCTTCCCCCAGGGAATCAAGACTCAAGGAAAGGGACAGGGAGCCAGGAAGCAAATACTTGGAAGAAGCTACTTAAAGCTTTTCAAAAATATGTCCATGTTCTACTTCATCTATACCTAAGTTACTGTCAGCTCCCCAAGGCCAAAACCTGTGTGCCTTCTAGTGACGGGTGGATATGTTGCTTAGAAAACTATTGGTGAGGGGGACATCAATAATACTTTCAACAATAAAGATAATTTTTTTTAAAGTTCAACACTGCTAAATAAACTGTATAAAGTTGCATTTTGATTCTTCATATTTTTTTAGTTTTTTTTTTAATCCTCACCGGAGTACATTTATCCCCCCCCCCCCCCATTTTTGTTCAGATAGAGTGGGAGGGAGAGAGAAGAGAAGAGAGAAACAACGACGTAAAAGGGACGCATGGAATGGCTGCCTCCTGCACAACCCCAACCAGAGCCAGGAATGAATCGCAACCGAGGTGCATGCCTTTGACAGGAATTGAACCCGCCACTCATTGGTCCGTGGGCCGCCGCTCTAACTGCTGAGCCAAACTGGCCAGGGCTCTTCATATATTTTTAATAGTCAGTGTTTTATGGTCAAATGACTGAGGGTTCTAAGGTTAAACAGAGCATCCTAGCTGTGGTTCTATATATTTAATTTTTAATTTTTGCTTTTAACCAAAACATTAAAATCCTAATTGGAATTCATAATAAACTGTATTTCAATTAAAAAAGAAAGAAAACCATTGGTGAGTTGAATTTAATTGGACATAGCATTTGAAATACCTTCTCTGAAAAGAGTTAATCTTCACATCCAAGCTGAGAAGACAGAGTCTACCCTTGAACATGAAAGGCCTGCCTGGCTCTTGCAGGACCTGAACAAAATCTGTTGGCTCTTACCTTTCTATATGGAGAGATACCATGATGCCTTCCATGGTTAGGGCTGAGCCCATAATGGGAGGAAGGAAGGGCAAGAAAGGGCAAACCTGGTTGCAAGCCTTACTGTCCCTAGCATCCTCTTGTCAGAAGCCAAGATGTGGCAGGATGATTTGGCCTCCATTCAAACCGTAGTCACAGCCTGAAGCCATTAAGTGACCGAATAGAGGCACTTCTAATCCTTGACCCAGAACACAAGGCTTCACTCCTACCTTTCCCAAAGATTTATCTTCAATAAATATCCTAAATCTTTACCAATTTAGAGCAAATAATAATAGTAATAATATTATTATAATAATAGCTACCATTTATTGAGCACCTATTCTACTGTGTGCCAGGCACTGTGCTAGGCACTTTTCGTACAATATCTAATTTAAATCCTCACAACAACCCTGTGAGGTAGGTATTATTATCGTCATTTTGCGTATGAGGGAATTGAGGCTCAGAGAGATTAAATAACTCTCCTATCACGCAACCAAAAAGTAGTAGAGCTGCGATTCAAACCCAGAACCTGACTTGAAATCCCATGCTCCTGTGAACTAGAGTAAAGGCAGAGGGGAGAAGGGCCAAATTCAAGAAAGATTGTTGGAATAGAATGGATCTGCTCAATAGTAAGATATGGGAAGGGATGTTAGACCACAAATGTTTCTAGCTGGTGGGCCAGTGTAGATTGTGAAGTTAAGTAGGATTGGAATTCAGGAGGTGGGAGAAATGAATTGAGTCCATATGGACATGTCCATGGAGATGTCCAGTGGGTGATAAAAACACAGATCTAAAGATTGGAGTTGTGGATAGAGATATATATTTGAGAATCACCAGGATATCAAAGGCAGTTAAGGACATCCAGATGGATGACACCATTTGGGGAGTAAATAGGAGAGAGAAGTGGACTGAAGATAGAACTCTGAGAGCACCAACATTGAAGGCATGAGCAACAGTGGAAAAAGTCTCAAGAAAGTTGGACATTGTAAAGTCAGATAAAAGACAAGTATAGGAGGCAGCCCTCCTCCTAGGTGACTAGAGGAAGTCATGGTCTGGGTTGGGAGCAAACCAGAGCTGCCAGAAGGCAGGCAAGACTGAATCAAACTTCCAACATAGCCTTCAATCACCAAAACCCCCAGGAAGTATTTGTTAAATGAATGCCAAAAGCCCCTACCCTGGTTTGCCCCAAAGCATGGAATTTAGTACTTCATCTTGCTCTTGACTCCCAGTTCTGAAAATATGTGAGCCAAGAAAAGTTATAGAAGAGGATTAAAGAAAAAGTCATAATCTGTTTAAACTAGAAAATAGGTTAAAAAAAACCTGGCACTCCCAGAAGTCCCCCTGCCCAGTTGTGCTCTGGGGTATCATGCTGATGTGAAAACAGGAAAACGTGTGCAAGGGAGGGGGCAGGGTGAGAACAGCCTGCCAGTTGTCTGGGGCCCTCTGCTGAGCCCCACTTATGGGCTTTATCCAGGTAGGAAGATGATGGGGACATGTGGGGGAGGATTGAGGGCTATGAGGAAGGGAAGGTAGGATAGAGGTTAAGTCAGGGGACCAGCCCCACAACCTGGGGGAAGATTGGGAGAGAGGGGCCTGCCCTCTGGGCAGGGACCAGCCCTGAGGCTTAAGCTGATTTGCATAGGCACGTGTGTGTGTGTGTGTGTGTGTGTGTGTGTGTGTGTGTGTGTGAGAGAGAGAGAGAGAGAGAGAGAGAGAGAGAGAGAGAGAGAGAAGGAGAGGGAGAAAACACGAACACATACTCTCTGGAAAGATTAACAGAATCTCTCATATATGGGAAAGGGGCTCGGGCCCTCCCCAGAAGCCTAGTGACTCAACATGTTGAAGTGTGTGTGTGGAGGGGGAGGGGGTAAGGGGGAGGCCTGAATATCCTTAGGAAGCCCTGAGGGGCTGCTGAAGCAGGGTTCCTGGTCTCCTTGGAGGCTGGGCCTCCCCTCGCTGGGGGCTCACAGAAAGTCAAACAGCCCGAAATTCTTGGCTGCTCCAGGCCCAGGAAAATTGGGGGAGGAAAAAAGAAAGAAAAGAAATGTTTCAGGCCCAGAGGTGAGATGAGCCTGCTGGTTAGTAGGGTTACAGGTCTGAGGGAACCAGCACACATTTGCAGGGAAGGAATGGTGGTGGGGTAGAGCAGAGATGCTCCCTGGAAGCCACTAGCAGATCAGGCAACTAAGGCCCCCACTGGGCTTCTGGTAAGGGCCAGCGCAGGCGGGGATAGCATGGATAGTTACTGAAACCACAACTCTAGGGTGCAGGCAGCAGGCAAGGAACAATTAAGAGGGGCAGATCAAACAAGTTTTGCTTTTTTTGGTGTCAGTATTGTAGGGGGAAAAGTTCAGAGATTGGCACACATGCTTGTGGGGATGAGGTTAATAGGGGATGGCTAGCTGAATGAATGGTGAAAGAGAACTGAGGTGGGGGTAATGGTGGGGATAAAGAGCTGAGGAGACCCTGAAGGGTACAGTTGGGGTCACTTCCCGAATTGTGTGCACAGGTGAAGGGAGTAAGGAGCAGCACCAGCAAGTCGAGTATCCTGGGAAGTCCTGTGCAGCGGTTAGTGGGCAGAGGGACAAGCAGGGGCTGAAGGCAGGTTAGGGGCTGCAATAGCGATGGGTGGGTGCACCCCGCCCTTGCTGAGCCCAGCGAGCAGTTAGCGCGCCTGGATTTAGTTCCGTTTATTTCCCTTTCAGGTACCAAACAAAGTAAAAAAGACTGGACAGATGGAGAGAGGGACGCAGCCAGCCAGGTTAAGGGTAGGATGGGAGTGGGGGAGGGGCCCTGCTCACATCACATCCACAAAGAACTCACTGGGGTTTCCCATGGCCATGCGGAAGGACTGTCTGCTGGCAGTCAGTTCGGGGGGCACTGAGGCCAGGTCACGGCCCGGAGGGGCTCCTGGGGGTCCCATGGCCGCGGGCGGAGGGGGCATCATCAACATGGGGGGGCCGTAGAGAGGGGGCACGCCAGGGGGGCCGTAGCTCGGGTGTGTGTGATGGCTGCGCAGGCTGCTGGCCAGCGAGTGGTGGCTGCGGTGGCTGTGCTCGCTCGCGGCAGGCCCCGAGCGCTCGCTGGGCGCCCGCTCCCGTGGCCCCCGCAGGCTGCTGCGAGTTGTGTGGTCCGACTCGCTGCCGCTGCCGCCTGACTTCGAGTCCCCAGCCTTCGGGTCCTTCTCCTTCCGCCGGTCGCTGCCGCTACGGTTGGAGCCACTGCTCCGGCTGCCTGTAGGGGACAGGCAGGGACCGGGTAATGGACGCTCAAGAGCTTGTGGAAGAAGCCTGGGGCTCACCTGTGTTCCCCCCTTCACCTTACCTTCACTGTGCTGACTGCTGGCACTGCCCCCGCCATAGCTGTACCCCAGCTCGGGGAAGCCTGGGTGCGGGTTGTAGGGGTGCGGGGGTGGTGGATACTGGTAAGGGAAAGCCATGGGCCAAGGGGCGGCCCCCGGATGCGGCAAAGGGGCTAGTGTGTCCTGGTCAGAGGCACCGCTGGAGCCATCGTGATCGTGGAGGGACAAGTTGGCCATGTCTGTGGAGGCAGGAGAGAGCCAGATGTTGGGGCTCTCCCATACCTCTGCACCCCTAGGTGGGGTTGGGTGCATTTGAGATAACAGCAGTGGTAGTTTCCCGCAATTATGGGAGTTGGAATAGGCCAGAGATCTCTCATTCCTTTCAACTCCCTCCACCATCCAGCGAGATGGTCCAGAGGGAGACCCTGAGTCACCACTTCCTAGCCTCTATGCCAAATCCTGACACCCAGCTCCAATCCATGGAGAGCTCTTACCAAGCCTCTGGCAGTTTCTCCTCCTTCCTCAGTGGACTAGAAGGGACAAAACTCATTCTGTTCACTTACTGCAGCAATTTTCAACTGGTGTGTCACAAGAATTTTGAAAACATGCAATACCTGACTAGTGAAGGACACTGACCTCTTTACCCTTACACTATTAAATTAAAAAATGACAACAGCCAACACAACAATAGCTATCTGGTGCGAATGAATGAAATTATACCGTGTGTGTGTGTGTGTGTGTGTGTGTGTGTCAGATTGGCAGAAATATATTTTTTGGTGTGCTGTAGAATTTTAGTAATTAGTTTATGTGTGCCATGAGATTAAAAAGGTTAAAAAACTAACTTAGACGGTAAAAGGTAGGGGAATGTGGGAGGCTGAAATCTCATACCACCACCACAATACAAAACACTCATCTCACACAAATGTTACCACAACCCTCTGAAGAAGGTGATAGGCACATTTTTTCCAGATGAGGTAAGTGCAGTCAGAGAGGTTAATTGACCAGCCTGAGGTCAACCTAAACTGTAGCCAGAACAGAAGCTAAAAGTTGCTTACTTTTTCACATTTTCAGATAAGGTTATTCGTAAGGAGTTGGGGAAATTTAGGTGAAATTGTGCCCTCCCCCCTCACCTAACACTAAAAATATAGTCATTAAAAGCCAGAATGAACAGAGGGCCTTTCAGAGCCTCTCCATATAGAAGGCCAGTGGCCTGAATCAATTTTCTGGTGCTGCTGGGGAAGGTGGGAGTGGGGTGGGAAGGGCCCAGAAAGAGAATGATTTGGATGCCTCCTCTATACTCTCCACCCCGTTCCCAGTGAGGCCTGGTTCTTCACAGCACTTATCTCACTGTATTAACACTGTATATAGTCACTTCTTCATGACTCTGGCACCCCCAGTAAATTGTGTACCCGTTAAGAGGAAAGGATGCCCCTACCAATACTGGAACTACATGGAAGGGAGTATAAGGGGCCGCTAGGACTAATGACCTGCCTCGGACATCCCTTGCTTACACCTCATCTATACCAGGTCCCACAGCTCTGAGAGCTGTGCCTGCCCTAGAGGCCAGCCAGATACAAACTGAGCCCTTTGTTCCAAGCCCTTAAGTAAGCCAGCCTAACCTTCCAGGGGAGAAGAGATAAGGAGAGGGGGCCCAGAGGGGGCTGAAGCAGCCAGTGAAGTCTGCCAGCCAAGCCATGAACTTGTCAAGGCCAGCAGCTAGCACAGAGGGTGGTGGTAAGCAGGCATCTGCCTTGGCTCATGCTCAAAGAGCTGGTGACTATTTCATCCTCCAGGCTGTCACCCCAAGGGAAGTGACTGTGTACTTCTGGGACTACCCAGGTCCTCAGCTGGTCCTTTTGAGTCTGCCACACTCCCAGGTTAGGAGACCTTAGCCAGTGAGAAGGAAAAGGCCTGTTCTGTCAGTATCTTCCTAAGCTGGGCCTCTGGTAGCCTTGGTCCATGGGCAGAAGATCTAGGAGGTCCCAGGGATGGAAGGGTGTCTCTTGAGCAAAAGCTACAGCTCTTCTGAAAAGCTTTATATGTCCCTGGACATTTGGGGCCAGCACTGACTTCTGCTAAGGATGACAATAACCACATTTGATTAAGTCTAAGAAGCCAATGATTGTAAGATGCACTCCAATTTCATCTCAGAATCAGTTAAATATATGAATAATGGACAACTTTTTAAAGGGTACTTACTGTGGGCCAAACATGATGCTAAAAGCATTTTATACATTATAGCCTCCCTTACTCATATTCAAACAGTAAGGGTGGAGCTAGGATTGGAACTCAGAACTATCTAACTCCAAAATCCTGTGTATCTATCACTACTTCATGGGACACACTGGAGCTGCTGAGGGCCAGGGACCCACACTCCACCAGGATTTGTGCTCTGCAGAAACAGCCTTCCTAGTCCCTAGAACCTAATCTGAAGCATTTTAAGAGTTTTTGGACTCCAGCCAGCACCAGTGGGATGAGAGAAGGTTCCCTCAGGTAGAGATGGCTGATGGGGGAGGGTTTCAGCTCCCAGTCCTGAGCGATACTGTCCTGTTTTGAAGACTACCCTTCCAAAGGACTGTCCACAGCTTCAGAAGGAGAAGGGGGAGGGGGTCTCCATGCAGATCTCTCCTGCTTAATAACCCTAATTGGCTTTGCACTCTTTTTCGTGACCAAGTCCAGCTCCTCTACAACCTGGTCCTGATAGCTTCTCCAGCTCCATCCTGAGGCACAGCCCCCCTACAGGGGTCTGAGAAAGCTGTGGGCTTGGGGCCTCAGGCCAGTCCTGGGTCCTGCCTTGGTGAACCTGCTTGATGCTAGGCGGTTAAGCAGGGGCCAAGGATAGGATCTCTGGCCTTGCTGAGACAATGTAGCACTACACACCTGGTCAACCCCAGATGGTGGCAAGAACAAGGGCTCTGGAACCAGAAAGACTTGGACCCATGGCCTAGCTCTTCTGCTTCTAACTGTGAGACCTGGGGTGAGCTACTGAACTTCTATATATCTCAGTTTCCTCATCTGAAAACAGGGATAGTAATCCATTCCCCAAGGGTAGGGAGGAGGTTATGAGGACTGAATGATAGGGTGATGCTTTAGAAACAGTCAGCATGGTGCCAGGCACAGAACAGGCACTTAGGAAATGCCAGCCGCTCCAGGGGATGCAGGGCCGGTAAAGAGGCTAAATTGGGTTCTGCTTCCACCACAAAACTCTCAGGCCTTGAGATGGGACCCCAGCGCTGCTGCCCCCTCCTCTGGGTTCCCTGGAGTCTGCTGCCACATCCCTGGACACCGCCCCACTCCCAGGCAGGAGAGAGGGCAAGGAGGTGGGGAGGCACGTACTGCCACAGAGGTCGCCAAAGATGTAGTAGCACTGCTCAGAGAAGGTGATCTTGTTGACAGTATGGCGGATGAAACCAGCTTTCAGCAGGTTGCTGGCATACTTGCGGGCCTCTCGACGATCAGTGAAGCCTTCCACATTGTGGTACAGCCAGTCCACTACATCCGAGCCTGGGGGCAAGGCTGCCATTTGACTGGGAGGCCTACCTGACTTGGGCTCATCTGGCTTCACAGAAGCCATGAGGCTGGACCTGGTTCCAGCTCAAAAGAATTCTCGGGCTCCCAGCCTGTCCTGTTCCCTCACTGCCCACCATCCCATCCTTCATCCCACCATGGGGCCCTCTCACCAATGAAAGCGTTGGGGATAGTGATCTTGAGCCACATGCGGTCTCGGACCTCTAGTCCAGATTCAGGGGAGGCCATGGCTTTCACAATGGCGGCCATGTCACTGTGGATGGACAGGTGGAAGTCATCTAGGCCTAGGAGTGGGAGGCAAAATGGTGAGGCAGAAAGAGGCTGTGGAGTTAGGCAGACAGGAGTTTGCATTCCAGCTCTACAACCTAATAAATATGGACCAGTGCTGGGCAAATTACTGACTTCTTGGACATTCTGTTTCCCCTTCTGTAAAAATAGGGACTTTAACATCTATTTTACAAGGATGTTTGAAGGGAATTAAATAATGTAAATGAAAGTGCTTAGTATAGTGCATAATGTGTGTGTTATAATAAAAATGGCAGTCATTATTGCAGCTTACTTTATGCCACACACTGTGATCAATGCTTCACTTATATCCTCTCATTAATGCCCCAGGAACCTGGTACAGTACACATCATTAGTCCTATTTTACAAGAGGAAACTGAGGCTTACTAGGTGCTCAATACTGGTTCAGAAGCAATGCTGTTTTTAGTGAGGGTCGGGTGTCCACTGAGGGAAGCTGCAGTGTGAAGTCGCTAGAATGAGCTGAGGCCCCTCTCCAGCCCCTCTGACTTTCAAGCAACAGTCTCCACCTGGCTCTGTGCTGGGCCCAGGGGACAGGGTTGGACACTCACGTTCTGTGTCAGGGATGGAGCTGGTGATGGAGGAGCTGGTGGAGGTGATGGTGCTCAAGGAGGGGCTCATGCCGTAGGCAGGGAAGGTGCCAGTCATGGCTGCAGTGTGGGAGACCCAGGCCGCAGGGTCAATGGGACGGATGGGCTCGCCTGCAAGGAGGATGAGGAGTTAGGGGCTGCCCAACCTGCCCAGTGCTGGACCCAACAGGGTAGGTGTGAGAGTTCAGGGCAAAACAGAAGGTAGGAGAGACAGGGCTTGTGTATGGCAGGCACCAGCTTTAGGGCCGAGCTCCCTATCCACTTACTCCTGGGCAATGTGAAGCAACCACGTGGACTTGGGTCCCAGCACTTGGCTACAGTCAAGGTGATGGGCCTGAAAGCAAGGGTGTCCTTAGTGAGGAAAGGATGTTTGGAGGCCAGATCAAGTCCCTGCCTGAATGCCTGCCACCTCCTCTGCAGTGCCCCATCCCATCCATACCCTGGTTTGTGCACAATCTCCCGCAGTACTCGGACTGCATCGTCATTACTCATGTTCTCAAAGTTGATCTCGTTTACCTAGGAAAGAGGACCAGGAGTGGGATAAGCAGCTGTGCTGGGGAGGGGTTAGAAAAGCTTGGTGGATCAGGGGGTCTTCCTCCACCAAGAATAGGCCTCTGAATAAGGTACAGAGGGTAGGAAGAATAAGAGGGTATAAAAGGTACATCTCCCCACACCCTATCCACACCATTAGCCATGGTGGACAATGGTACCTGTAACAGCATATCTCCTGGCTCAATACGTCCATCAGCAGCCACGGCCCCGCCCTTCATGATAGAGCCAATGTAGATGCCTCCGTCACCGCGCTCATTGCTTTGGCCCACAATGGAGATGCCCAAGAAGTTATACTTTTCTACAAGGAGTAATATGAACCTTGAAGGGGGAGCAAAGTACCTACCCAAATTCTGAGCCCCTTTTTAGAAAGAGCAGAAAAGGATGAGAACTAACATTTATTGAACTGGAATCAGGCACTGTGTTCAGCATGCTCAAATAGGCTTTCATTTCATCCTTACTGGATGTGAGGCAGGGACTCCCGGTCTCATTTTACAGAATAGGCAACTGAGGTTCAGAGAATTTAAGTGACTTTTCTAAGCCACTAAGTGGCAAAACTATAATTCAAACTCAGATTTAAATTCCAGACAAAGTTGGGGCTCTTTTCAACCAAGCTATATCTTAAAGAGAGTACCTAGAACAAAAAGCAGAGAGCAAGAATGCAATGGCTAAAAAAAATAGGAAAAGGGAAGGAATCAGAAATCACTTCCTCCAGGAAGCCTTCCCTGATGCTTTTCTGCTTCCATAGCCCTGTGTGTTTCTCTATGTCATAGCCCTGATCATGAGATACTGAAATAATCAGTTTAGGTTTATAAAAGAGAGCTCCTTGAGGTCAGGGAACATATTTTATGCCTCTTTAAACTCCTTGAGTCTGTCCAGTGTCTACCATAGAGGAAGCACTCAAGAGTGCTGTTTCACTAGACTCACCCATGTTGAGAGTGACCGTGATGATGTTGAGTGACATAGTGGAGTCCGTGATGCTGCTGAAGGATGAGGACTGGAATAGACAGAGACTCTGAGAAGAAGGCAGGGGTGGCAGGAACTCACTGCTCCTACCTAGCTCCTCCTCAAGGTGAGCTGTCAGCACCACCTCCCCTCTAAGGTTCTAAACACTGACCCAAGGGGCGGGGATCTAAGGAAGCATAAGCCTTGGCCCTGCCCCACTCATCCCTAGCATCCCAGGCCCCATACCCGCTCAATCCGGGAAACCTTCTGCTTCCGCCGCCGCCGTTTGTGTCTTCTCATCAGGCGTGAGGCACTGCTCTGTTCTGTGGAGCTGCTGAACCTGTGGGGCCCACAGTCGTTCCCCACCAGGCTGGCCTAGCCCTGCCCCATAAGAGGCACTGCAGGGCCCAGGTCCCCAGCACAAAGCCCACATCCCTCCCAGGGGCCCAGTATCATCCAGCCCAGGGTTCAGGGCTCCTTAGGCGTCACCTGCCCCACAGTACTCATGAAACCAAAGCCCTACCTGCTGGTGGAGTCATCCTCTTCTGAATCAAAGAAGCTGGTGGTCTCCAACTCGCTGCTCATGAGGGTAGAGGAGCTGTCGTAACCCCCTGGTTCTCGCCGTCGTTCCCCCTTTGCAGTTCCATTTAACCGGGTTGCTGCAGGGGATGGAGGCAGCTGGGTTCACAGTGTCCAATGTAGGAGGGAAGGGAGGGTTAAGGTTAGGGGCTGCACTCAGGCCAGTCATATCCAGAGCTCAGGAAGTTGAGCAAAGTGGTGGGCAGCTGAGTGGGGAGGGCACAGGGATGGGGAAGGCATCTGTTCAGGGAAGACGCACTGTGTTCTGGGCCGTCCCTCCTGCGAGGCCGCTCCCGCTGGGCAGACACCAATGAGTCCGTCTCTGTGTCATTGTCCAAGTTCTCCTGGCTGCCCCCACCAGCATGAGGGCTGCAGGGAAGACAGGACTTGGTGGGGGAGAGGGTAGGCTGGGGGTTCCCTTCCCCCAGCCCTGGGCTGAGCTGATGTGGCCCTCCCCCATAGGCCCTGCCCATCCTCAGGTCACACTCACTGGAAGGATGGGGGCCGGGAGTCCCCAATGCCTCCTGTGCGTTCCATGGGCGGTGGCAGCTCTGAAGGGTTATCAGCACAGAAGGGAGCTGGCTCTGGGTGTGAGCCCTCAGCTGACACCAGCTGATGGGGAGAAAATGGGTAGGTAGTATGGCACAGGGGCACCAGGGAAAAGTAGGATAGTTGGCTTCTGGCAGGGCATGAAGACTTGGGGAGAATGAAGCAGGGGACATGGAGGGAAAAGAGACTGGACTATGCAAGGGCAGCTGACATGGGGAGCAGACCCACTGCCAGGTTGAGAGGGTGTCAGAGAAGCATGTGTTGGTGAAATAGGAGGGGGGAGAGAGTAAAGGTCCATGGCAGAGCTCAGCAGGTGACAGAAGGGAACCTGAGGCAAAGTGCCTCAAAGGGCATAGGAGACAATTTTGTCTCCAGTATATGTTTCTGTATCTGCCTTTCCCCTTTCATACCACTCCCCCAGTTTTCACCAAGGTTATAGAATCTGGGATAGAAACTGTTCAGTTAGAAACTCAAGGAAGATTCAGAAAGTGAAACATAAAATCACCAGCCATAACCTTAGTGAGGCCTTTCCTCTGTCCAGCCCACAGCAGGAACGTGGGCAGAAAGAGGGCTGAGGAAAAATCCTTACCCAGGACACCACCCGGCCATTAAAGCAAGGCAGCTTGGCATTGTCGTCCGAGATCTCCTCCTTCACCACTCTGCAGGGAAAGAGGGGCTGTCAGTGAGCTTTCTGAGGTAGAAATGGAGGTGTCCTCACAATCCCAACTCTCAGGGGCTCCTCTACCCTAGACTGGGAAGCAAACCAGCACAAGTCTCTTCAAATGACAGTATGGGTAGGAGTGACCCAGCTGCTGTCCTGGGTGTCCTCTCAGTCATCAGGTGATTGCAAATTACATCTGACAAATTGCTACCCCCATGAGTACAGCCACTCCCTAGAATCTCAAGAGCACTTTACCCATCCCTAATAAGGCTATCATGGGCTGGACTTTTTCTTCCCTCTGACCCTAAACTAGGAAAGAGCACACCCTGATTACTGTCCTTCCCTTCTCAGTTGGGAATTCTGACATTCTTCTGGGAGGTGTGGACAAGGAATTTAAGGAAATCAGGAAAGAAAAGGGGAGAAGGTATTTACTCATAATCCTCCACTGCCATTATGATAGTAGTAACAATTGCTCTAATTTATTGAGCATGTATTATGGGCCAAGCACTAAGCAAACACTTTATTTTTTTAAATCCTCACCTGAGGACATTTTTCTATTTATCTTCAGATAGAGTGGGAAGGAGAGTGAGGGAAAGAGAAACATCGACGTGAGAGGGACACATTGACTGGCTGCCTCCCGCATGACCCAACCAAGGCCTGGGACTAACCGCATCCGAGGTACATGCCCTTGACTGGAATCAAACCTGCGACTCATTGGTCTGTGGGTCGACGCTTTAACCACTGAGGCAAATCAGCCAGGGCACAAACACTCTACTTGTATCACTTTGTTTAATATAGCAATGCTATAAGATAGATACAGATGGAAAAACTAAAGGCTCAGTAGGTTCAGAAATTCACCTATGGTCACACCATTAATAAGTGAAGTGCTGGACTTTGAATCTTCATCAGCCTGACTCCAAAGCCTTTATTCCTACCAATTATACATCTTATCTCCCTATGGTTATAGTATATAATCTTCACATCAGCCTCATTGCATAGACAATATGATCCCCATTTTATGAATAAGGAACTGAGAAACATTCAGTAACTTGTCCAAGGTCACAGAGCTAGACGTTGGAGTTGGAAATCAACCCCAAGTTTGTCTGACTCTAAAGCCCACACTCTTTCCATGGCATTTCACGTTCTTTCCTGTACAATGACAAAGGTGATGTGGGTCTGTGTACAGGGTGAGGTAAGGAAGCAGTTATGTGAGCCATGGGGAGTGGGATGTGGTCACAGGCATGCAGTGAGGCAAAAGATTAGACCATGACTACAGTTTGGGGCCAGTGAAAGAAACTGGAATAGTTTGAGGACCCTCAGACTGCATCAAACACCCAGGTGTACAGAGCTGGAAAGATGTGATTAGGGACAAGGGGAAGAAGCCACATGCCTGGAGTTGTGAGCAGAGAGGGAAGACAGCAAGGAAGGAGGTTGGGAAGCCCAGTCCTCCCTGTTCTTGAAGAGCTTCTGCGAGAACTGGGAACGTGCTTGGCTCCTTGTGATGCTCTCACATTCTTGGACTCACAGCCAAGTTTGAAGGCTGAGCCTATCCTTCCTCCCATCCAGCTCTGGCTCCTCCACCATTTCCAACCCCACAACGACCCCAAGAAAGCAGCTCAAATCATCCTGCTCAGGGCCATTATGGCAGAAAGCCTGGAGACAGAACAGGCTGGAAAGAAGGGGCAGAGAGAGAGGTAGCTCAGACTTGTTAGCCAGTCCAGTCACAGGGTACCCTAAGCTTGCAGCCCTCTGTGGGAACTGGGGCTCAAAGGAAAACAGGTATGTGGGCCACATGGCAGGGACTCTATAACCTGTTTTAAAGAGGGTCTCCCTGTGGTGGGAAACTGCTGTTGAGTCCCCACAACCTCCTCCCCCAGCAGGCCCCACTACACAGCTCCAGCTACAGATGTTTCCTCTCTTTCTGGGGGTCACTGACAGGTCGCCAAGGCTCTGTTGACTCATAACGATCAGCTGATCTTCAGCAGCCTTGGGGGACCTCAGACAGCACCCCCCACAGTGGAGCTAAATGGCTCAGGGTTCCATTGCACACACACACACACACACACACACACCACTCTCACATCTCAAACGGAGTCAGACAAATCTGGGTTCAAATTCCGATTCTACTACTATTAGCCCTCTCATCTTAGAGAAGTTTCTTAATTTCTCCAAGCCTGTCTCATCCTGGTAAATGGTATTTGTAAATGCCTGACATGGTCCAGGCATACCATAAAAGCTAGTTTCTAACTTTGTTAATTTTTAGCATGATCCATACTCTCTTTCTAACTAGGTGTAAGTTTGTAAGGACAGGGACCAAGTAAATATGTTCATCATTCATCACACATGCAATTAAAAAGCCTTTGTTGAGATAGAGCTCAGTGAGTTTTAAGCCCTGTACTTGCCATTGTACGAACTTCAAGAAGCATCAGACCTAGAGCCTGCCTTGTTCTCAGAGGTTACAGTCCACTGGCAGTTCACATAAGCACATTACATGTGGGGAGTGGTCAGAGTGGTAAGACCAGCAGAGATGTTCACTGTACAGACATCTGCTGAGTGTTACAGATGTCAGGTCCTGGCTAGGAGCAAGGTAGGTATATGGATAAATAGAATAAAATATCATAACTTTAAAAGCTCAACCCAGCCCTGGCCGATTTGGCTCAGCGGTTAGAGCGTTGGCCTGCAGTCCAAAGAGACCCGGGTTCAGTTCCCACTAAGGGCATGTACCTCGGTTGCAGTTTGTCCCTGGCCCTGGATGGGTCGTGCAGGTGGCAACCATTCGATGTGTCCCTTTCACATCGATGTTTCTCTCTCTTTCTCTTCCTCTCTCTCCCTCCCACTCTATCTGAACAAAAAATGGAAAAATGTCCTCGGGTGAGGATTAAAAAAATAAATAAAATAAAAGCTCAACCCAGAGGATAGAAGAATTTGGACATGGAAAAGCCAGGGGAAGAAGTGTGCTCCAGGTAGAAAGCCCTGAGGCAGGACACTGTGTGACATGGAGCAAGGAGCAACACAGTTTGTGACCCCACTTCCCATGCTGCCCCCTCCCACAGCTCAAGGCCACTCTAGCAATGGGTACTTTGTTCTTCTACCCACTATCTCCTCATGCTAAAAATGTTTATTCTTCCTCCATTTCCCAAATAATTTAAGAGGGACGGTCCTACCCTGAGCTTGACAAATACTTCTGGAGACCCCACAAACCAGTACCTCAGAGGGTAAGCCTGGAGAGAATGGAGAGACAGCAGCCTTCCTCCTCTGACCCACTTTCCCATCTGTTAGCAGGGGTCACTGGCCTCTGCCTGGCCCTCCTCTCAAGGGGCTAGGATAAGTGGTAGCCCTGTCACTGCTACAGTTTGCCAAGGTTCAGCATCTCCCTCAGAGAGGATGCATCTGTAAGATGGTGATAATATCTACAATTGTGTGATTAAGGCCTTGGACTTTGGAGCCAGATTCCTGATGTGGAATCAAGCTCTGCTACTAACTAGCCAAACTGTGCTGTGTGACTTTGGGTAAGTTTCTTCAGGTTTCTGTGCTCTAATTTCATCATCTGTAAACTGGTGATATTACTACTTAACTTCATAGGCTGTTAAGAGGATTCAATGAATAAAAATTTGAAAAGCACTTAAATCAGTGCCTGGTCGATTGTAAGCGCCATAAAAAGAGTTTGTTAAATAAATGTACACACACACACACACACACACACTCCCCTCTATTCCTTAGCTATTAGTCCTCTGTGATAACCCTACCAGGTCTGCTCATTAATCCTTCTGGGGATAAAAACAAAATCAATCTCCTTCACTTCGTTTTTAGCATTGTTCTTAACCCTGTCAAAATGGCCTACTCTGATATTTTGCAAAGGATGGTTCGAGGACCAGTGATGTATGCAAGATGTGTTCGGGTGTTACCTGAATAAACATTGCTTAATTCAATAGTTAATATTTATTTTGAACATATCTTAGAAAGAAATATACTAGAAAATTAGATGGGTGATTTCATATTGATTTGGTCAAGCTAAGAAAGAGTGAGTGCATGATCTCATGTGTGGAATACGAACATAACAGTCTGAGGAATAGGGTAGACCCAGAGACATGGAAGTAGGGTACAGACTGACAACCCTCAGAAGAAGGGGTGGTAGGGGGAGGGAAGAGATAAACCACAGAACTTATATGCATGTATGCATAACCAATGGACACGGACAACAACAAAGCCGGACAACAAAGCTGGGGACAGGGTGGGAGGGATGGGGAGGAGGGTGTCAATGGGGTAAAAAAGGAGAAACATCTGTAACAAAAATAAAATAAATAATTTTGAAAAAAAAAAAAGAGTGGATGGACAGTGAATGTAAAGAACAATACTGTCAACAGTGAGTGGATGTAATAGGGACCCTCCTATGACTGCAGCTAGGCCTGGCCCAGGGTAGCCCCAGTGCACTGGACTCCAGCTGATTTGCTCCTATTCCATACCCTGAGGCAGTATCTCCGTCTCTCCTAACTCTGTTCTTCTTTTACCAGGCCAAGGCATCCACCCCCTCGCTCCCACCCTCTGCAGACTTATTCATCCTTCTTCAGAATTTTCCAGTCAGGGGTGTCTGTCTCTGGACTGAAGCCAGACAATCATTACACACCAGGCATTCCCCACCCCACAGTACATATAACAACAACAAGAATGGTTAGAAGCAGCATAACACTTCCCATTATAAAAGCCCTTTCACACATAGGAGCTCATGGGCTCATCAAACCCTGAGTTCCAGGGGGAAAGGTGATGACAAAACATTCCAGGGAGAGGAGGGAGAAGGTGCTTGCTTCCCAGAGCCAGGAGGGCTGGGGTCCTGGGAGAGAAGCCAGACTAATGAACACTGGGAAGAAGAGTGTCTTCCCTCACTCAACTCTGGGGCCTCGGTTCCAGGGAGTAGTGCAGGCCTCAGGCTAGGGCTAGAGAGGCTGCCTTTAGGCCTGGAGGGCTGGGAAGGCCTTCCCCACAGGCCTCCAGGCCCAGCGCCCAGTTAGTGTGGGGGGGCCTCCTCCTCCCCCAGTCCCCTAGGAGTTGGGGTGTGTGTGTGAGGGGATGGCCAGGCTCCCCCTCCCAGGCCAGCTGCTACAGAATCTTCCGGCTCCAACATTCCATCCCTTCTTAAAGGGGAAGTCACTGCTTCCAAACTCTGCCTGTCCAAAGCTCCACAGCTGGGTGGAGGAGAAGACCAGGCCAGGGAGGGAAGATGAACACCAAGAGACTTCCTGGCCCTCCTACCCAGGTTCTGAGGCCCTTTCCACAGTCACCATCTGGAGGGAAAGGCCCCAGTCCCGAGAGGAAATCAGCACCTGGGCTAGTGTGAACTCCTCCTTAGGGGTCAGGCGCTCTGCTCCCTTGATATCCCGCACACCCCACAAGGAAGGGGGAACAGCTAAATAACATCAGGTCTGCAGGCCTTAGCTTACAGCCTGGCGCCTGAGCAGCCCTAGCCTCCCCCTCCCCTCCGTTCAAAGTCCCACAAGCACAGCCCTAGGATGCACGGTACTCCAAATATGGCTCGGAGTTGTGGAGCTGAAAAGATGGAGAAGGCGAAGGCCGAGTGCCAAACATCCTAAGTCTGTGTTCAAAAGGTGGCTTCCTGGGCAGGAGGGTGGGGGGCGCCTCCAGCTCTGGGACTGGGTGGAGGGGTGTGTGTGTGTGTGTGTGTGTGTGTCTGTCTGTCTGTGTGGGCCGCTGGTCTCTGAGAGGTCAGGGGGCTTCCTGGGCTGGTACTCTGATTGCTCTTGGGGAGTTGGACGTCCTCCTAAACTAGGGGCCCAAGGTCCCCACAAGAGCGAAAGGAGAGTCCCTAGAGGGGCTGGAACTCCAGGATCTGAAAAAACCAAGGGGAGCCCAGATGGCCGAGTGTCCCCCTAAAATCCAGAGTAGGGCTAGAAGCCTGTGTAGCAAGGGGAGTGCAAACTGGCCGGGTGGCCTCTAGAAGCCGGAGGGGCTGGGGTCTCCCGGAGGCGAGGCGGGGCCATCCTCACCCGAAATCGTCGTCCATAGACTTAAAGAAGAATTTATAGCTGGGTCGCTGCAGAACGCCCTTAAAGTCCGCCAAGGTGACGCGCTCGGCGGGCAGGGGCAGCTTCACCAGGTACGGCGTCTCCTGCCCGTCCAGGTGGTAGATGATCTTGGTCTCGCCCATGGCTCCGGCCTCGGGCCCGGCGGCCCGCGCGCGGCCTGCTCGGGCGGCCGGGCCGGGCCTCTCAGGCGGCGGCGGCGGCGCTCGGCGCGGCCCAGTGGCTCAGCCCAGCTCCACGGCCAGCCGCGGCTCCAGTTCCCTTGTTCTCCGGCCGCTCCCGGGTCCCAGCGCCGCCAGCCGCCGCCGCCGCCGCGGCCACCGCTTCCGCTCCCCACTCTCCCGGCTCGGCTGGCAACGGCGACTCTTCCGGTGGCCGTGGCCCTCCCGGCTCTGGGCTGCGGCCCGGCCCGCTCCCCAACTCCGGCCCCGGCGTGGCCCCGCCCCGGCGGAGCCCCGCCCCCCCGGCCGCCGACGAGCCGTGCTGGCCTCGCGGCAGATGGCCTGCGGCCGGGCCCCGCGGACACCCCGCCCACCAGCCGGGTGGCGCGCTCTGGCTCCTGCGCTCAGGTCCCAGGCCCGCGAGGAGCGTGGCAGCAGTAGCCTAGCACCCCCCTCCACACACACACACACACACCCAGAGAGAGAAGGGCCGATCTCACCAGGAGGGCCGTGTTCCTGGACTCTTCAAGGTCCAGGCTCTGGATCCAGGGGGATTGGCTGCTCCTCTGCAGCTGGGAGGGGTGTAATGCAGAGCTCACTTTGGTCCCCAGGGTTGGTGGGTGGCAGTTCAGACCATGTATCCCTGGAGGAAAGTGACCTCGACATGGCCTTTTAGGGTCTGTTAAACATAGCTGCTGTCATTGAATCTACCAAATTGAGTTCTTGAGGATAGAACAGGATCTAGTGCTGATTCCTTCTTATAACCTCAGTACCTAGGTGCAAAGCAGTGGTTTAATGGATTGAATGCACAGTGGGTTCGAGAATGAAGATGCACGCATGACTGGAACAGTAAGTTTCAAACCAGAACTAGGTATAATCAGTTCCTAACAGATCTCCTCACCCCTGAGCTTTTAATTTGTTTAATAAATACTACCCTGCCGGTGTGGCTCCCTGGTTGAGTCAACCAATGCACCAAGAGGTCACCGGTTGGATTCCTGGCCAGGGCACATGCCCAAGGTTGTGGGCCAAATCCCCAGTAGGGGGCATGCAGAAGGCGGCAAATCCATGTTCTCTCTCATTGATGTTTCTTTCTCCCTCTTTCTTCCGCTCTCTCTCTCTAAAATCAATAAAGAAAAAAAAAATTTTTTTAATCCTCACCCAAGGACATTTTTCCATTTTTTGTTCAGATAGAGTGGGAAGGAGAGAGAGAGAAACATCAACATGAAAGGAACGCATCGAGTGGCTGCCTCCCGCACGACCCAACCGGGGCTGGGGACACACTGCAACCGAGGTATGAGCCCTTAGTGGAAACCGAACTTGGGTCTCTCTGGACCACAGGCTGACTCTTTAACTGCAGAGCCAAACCGGCCAGGGCAAGAAAGAAAAAAATTTTGTTTCAATATTTAAATAAATGCTGAGTGCCTACTACGTGCAAGGCATACTGCATGAGATACAGCAAAAACAAGACAGATAAGACTGCTCTCAGGACCTTTACTTATCTGGAAGGAGGCTTGTAAATAAACTTGAGTGACAAATGCTATGAAAAAGAAGAAATGGGAGTTATGTGATATATCGGGGGAAAGAGGATTGTGGGTGGTCAGAGAACATCTCTTCTATTTGAGCTAAAACCTAGAACTAAGGAGGAAGCCGCTATAAGAAGGTTTGGTCTGGGGGAAAAGCATTCCAGGCAGAGGGCACAGCCAAGTATAAGCAGGAATAAACTTGCTAAATTTGAGGAACAGAAGAAGGCCGTTGTGACTACAGGGATAGTGTTGGATGAGTCTGGAAAATAAACTGGGACCAGCTCACACAGTTCCTTTTATTTTTTATTTGTTTATTTTTTTAAAGTTTTTCTTTTGCTTTTATTACAAGCATATAATATTAATTGGCAAAACACTGAATACAAGCTTCACTATCATAAAATCAAAACATTTAAGCAATATTCCAAAAAATATTTTAGACAAACACTAGCCACCAATAGTACAAAAATTACACACCAACACAAAGCATAAAAAATGTAAACTTTCAAATTAAACAGTCAAAAATATGTATCTGCATTGTCACCTCCATAACCCGTGGCAGTGTCCACGGCGCCACAAGGGGCGTCCGGCTTTGTGGTGAGCTCCACCTGAACCCAAACCATCTGGGGAATGTGATTTCCTCACACCCAGGGAGTTGCCGGGACAGACATCTGCACTGAGGCTATGCATCTCAGGGACACTCTGCTGTGAGGACGCTGCCGCCCTCCCTACCCGCAGGCCCAGTCTGACGGTGATGGTGCGGCCTGAAAGTTTTCTCGTCTACTCATCCCAACTCCCTCCGTTTACTTCACACCAAGGCAGAGACACACTTTATTGGGCTAATGTCACAGGTGATGTGTGGGGTGCACATGGGTTCCTGAGAAAATAGAGAAACTTAATTTTTTATCTGCACTAAAATTATTTTTGATGTTATGAGAGCACATCGAATATTGACATAGGATATAGAATTAATCTGGCTTGTTCCTAGAATATTCAATCCAATGACATTTTTCAAATCAGTGAAATAGCCTGTAGCCTGTGTGCTCTGAGAAAATGGAATGGCAGCTCAAGACTTCTAACAAGGCCACCCTGGGGGGCTCAGAGGCCTGGGAACGTGTCACTGTCACATCTGCGGTCAACATGGGTGGTGTCCAGGACTTGTGTACACAGGGTCCAAGGCCATGAGACCCACAGCAGCACCTTACACAGGTCCTTTTAGGTCACTGCAACAAGTGTGGGCACCTCCTACTTGATTTTGTACTTTCCAAATTAGCATTTCAAGAGTAAGTACCTTATTCAGACACCTCGTCTGCTCAGAAACCTCTACATTTCCTAGTGCTTTCCAAATATTCTTGGTATGATATTGAAAACCCTCCATAATCTAACCTATATCTTTACAGCTTTTTATTTCATTATATCCTGGCTAAATTAAAATTTTTTTTTTCTTTATTGATCTTCAGAGAAAGAAGAAGGGAGAGGGGGAGAGAGAGAGATAGAAACATCAATGAGAGAGAACATCTATCCGCTGCCTTCTGCATGCCCTTAACTGGGGATCAGGCCCACATCCTGGGCATGTGCCATGACCGGGGATTAAACTGGCGACCTCTTGATGCATGGGTCAATGCTCAACAACTGAGCCACACTGGCCAGGCTACATTTTTTTTTTTTTTTTAATCCTCACCCGAGGACATTTTTGCACTTATCTTCAGATAGAGCAGGAGGGAAAGAGGGGGGAAGAGAGAGAGAGACACGTCAACTAGTTGCCATCCACACGACCCCAGCCAGGGCCAGGGACAAACTGCATCCGAGGTACGTGCCCTTAGTGGGAACCAAACCCAAGACTCTCTGGTCCGTGGGCTGACGCTCCAACTGCTGAGCCAAACTGGCCAGGGCTACATTTTTTTTTTTTTTAAATCCTCTCCCCAGGATATGTTTAGAAAGAGGAATGGAGAGAGACAGAGAGAGACAGACAGACAGAAATATCAATTGGTTGCCTCCCATACTCGCCACAACCAGGGATTGAACTGCAACCTAGGTATGTGCCCTGATGGGGAATTGAACTGGCAACCTTTTGGTGTATAGGATGACGCTCCAACCAACTGAGCCACCCCGCCAAGGCCTGGCTAAAGTTTTTACTTTAACAAATCAACCTATTAGGTAGCTCCTGCACAACACTTACATATTTTCATTTCGTACACTTCTCTTTATTTTTATTTTTAATACATTTTTATTGATTTTTTTTAGAAAGAGAGGAAGGAAGAGAGAAATAGAAACATTAATGTGAGAGAGAAATATCTATCGGTTGCCTCCTGCACACCCCCTACTGAGGACTGAACCCGAAACCCCAGCACGTGCCCTGACCAGGAATCGAATGGGGACCTCTCAGTCCATGGGACATTGCTCAATCCACTGAGCCACACCAGCCAGGCTATTTTTAATTTTTAAATTGAGTTTATTGGGGTGACATTGGTTAACAAAATTATATAGATTTCAGGTGTACAATTCTATAATACATCTGTATATTGTATTGTGTGTTCACCACCCCACATTTCCTTTACTTTACATTTCTTTTATTTAATCCTCACCTGAGGCTATTTTCTCAAATATCTTCAGATAGAGTTGGCGGGGGGGAGGGAGAAACACATTGATTGGTTGCCTCTTGCACGACCTGACCAGGGCCAGGGACCAGGCACAACCGAGGTATGTGCCCTTGGCTGCAACTGACCCCGCGACTCTTTGGTCCTTGGGCTGACACTCTAACCGCTGAGCCAAACCAGCCAGGGCTATTTTAAATTTCCATCAAAGCAATATGTGTAAACTCCCGCCAATACAGCACTGTAAATAAATGTGGTATCGCCTCCTCTCACACCCACGTCAAAATTACAACTAAACTACAACACAACCATCATTCAGCACAGCCTGAAATTGAGCTAAATGGAAGTCCTACAACTATGAAATTAAAGCAGCCGCCAGATGGAGACTGGTAGGAGGGGCGAAGGTGCTGATGGGCTGGTCCCACACCCACTTGTGGCAGATAAAAATCAGGAGGATACCTTGGCTGGGAAGGTCCTTCCTGAGGACTGAGGTCCCTGTCCCACACCAGGCACCCAGCTCAGGGTTCCAGTGCCAGGAAAAGAAGTCCCCATGATTTCTGGCTGGACAAACCAGCAGGAACTGAGGCTGAGGGAGGCTGCAGCTGTGGGAGCCCCAGGCAGTTCCTCTTAAAGGGACTGCACACTGACTTACTTGGACTTGCTCCTTCTGGGTTCCAGTGTGGGGAAGGCAGCTTGAAAATCACCAGAGACACACAGGGAAGAACTGAGCTGTTTGGCCTCAGGACAAGGGCTGGAGAGGTGGTTTTCTCCTGGATAGACCTGCTCGCAGAGGTCTTTGTTCCTTTGGTGAGCTCTTCCCCCACAGTACTGGCAGACAGGGGCCATATCTG